CTGGAATACCACTTTGAAACAACCGAAACAAGCGGATTATCAAAACAAGCAGGGGGGAACAACAACAAAACAAAAACGTTTGAGATCTGGTGCGTGAAAAAACGCGGAGAGGGCCGAACATCTTTCGGACAGCGTCCAGGGGAAAAAAGGAAGGTAGTGTTCGTGGTGTATAGCAGTGGACGGTAAAAGGACGAGGAGAACTGCGAGGACGGCGACAAGGAGCACGAGGACGCTATGGAAGGGGAAGGAGGAGGAAGACGAGAAGGAAGTCAAGGGGGAGGACTGATACGACAGCGCCATCAAGGAGGAGCCGCTTGGATCAAAATCTCGACGAGGACGGCAAGGACGAGGACGACGAGAACGTGTAGGACGAACAGAAGGTGAAGAGCGAGGAGGAGGAAGAAGACACTGCAGCGGTCGACAGGGAAAGACGGTCTGGACCGCCATGACTCCGGGGAGGACGGCGAAAAGGACTGGAGACGCTCCGAGGAGGAGGAGGACAGACGCGAGGAGGAGCAGGCCACGAGAAGGACGAGGAGGAGGACTGGGGAGGACAGCGCGGGAGGCGAGGGGGCACCGCAGCGGACCGGGAGGGACACCCAGCGAGCTGCGGACGACGCCCTGGGCACAGCGAAGGCCAGGCGGGAGAGGCGCCGGCCTCGGAGAACTGTCCGAACGGTGTGCGGCGCGGGACATCTGAGGACTTTTGAAGTCGGAGTCGGCGCGTGGATCGGCCTCCTCCTCCTCCTCCTCCTCCTCCTCCTCCTCCTCCTCCTCCTCCTCCTCCTGCTCCTCCTCCTCCTCCTCCTCCTCCTCCTCCTCCTCCTCGCGCGTGGATCGGCCTGCTCGCGCGGTGGCGGTGCAGCGGTGCCCGATGAAAAAAAAAGGACATTCGAATCGGCGTCGTGCGTGCTACCTGCCGTCGGTCTCCTCGCGAGGCATTGGCGCAGCGGTGCTCGAGGCCGCGAGGGAGGATGAGGGAGGAGGCGAACGGAGAAGAGATCGGCGGCGAGCGAGGGGGGGAGTGAGAAGGTGAAGGCATTCTCGGAATTCGGCGTGACTTCTCAGAAGCCCTCGCGCCTTCTGGAAGGTCTGAGATGTTTGGCCCCAAGAGGCGCCCAGGAGGCCCGAGGAGGCGCCCAAGAGGCTCCCAAGAGACCCCCAAGAGGCCCTTGAAGCTCCCCGAATCCCTAAGAGGCCCCAAGTGGCTCCAAGTGGCCACAAAACCTTCCACGGAGGCCCCCTAGATTTGTGGGCCTGTCTTCCACCACCACCACCACCACCACCACCACCACCATAAATAGGAGGGGGAATGGGTCCTCATCCTCATCCTCCTCTTCGTCCTCCTCCTCATCATCCACCTCCTTCCCCGCTCCAACCTATGGTGGTGGTGGTGGCAAACAGGCCCATGATAGATGCCAACATCCTTCACAAGCCTAAAGAACAACAATGAATGTTGTCTTCTCGCCTATTTGACTTCGATGGCCTTCCGAGGCCTCAAGATGGCTCCAAGATGACCTGAGGGCCCCAAGAATGGCCCAACAGCCCCAAGACGGCCCCAAGAGCGCCCAAGAGTGCCCCAACAGCGCTCCAAGAGGGACCCTTCCTCCGGGTGCTGCCCCCTTCCCTGATCGAGGCAACTCCACTGGCCATCGTCTCTTGATGGGCAAGTGGGATTACGCGAAGCGCCAAAAACTCCCTCCCGTTCGGTCACGACCTGTTTCTGGCGGGCGGGCACGCCGCCCAGCCCACCGCAGCGCGAATCCGTGTCACGCACATGAGGCATGGCCTGCAGGGGCGGGGAGGATTCTTTGAGTTTCTCGTTCTTTCCCTTTCCACATTTCCGTGATGAGCGCGTGGTTTTCTGGCGGGACCTGGTCAAAGTGGCAGGACCCACAACGTTGGCACAGTCAAGGTTGGCACAGTCAGCATGGTCCCCCACATGATACTCAGCGAAGTTGGCACGGCCAGGATTGGCATAGTCAGCAGGGTCGCGAATTCGACTACGCCATCACAGTCTGGGCAGCCCGCCGCGCGAGACAGCGCGCGGCTCGTCAGCGAGCAGAACAAGATGCTTCTCCGTCTGGACCAAGATGCGACGCTTCGGCGGCCCCGCCCGCAAACGACCCTACCACAGACAGCGAGCCCGAGGTCGTCGCTTTCTGCGTCAGCATGGTCTTGGGATGTATGCGTCGAACTTCGCTGAGCATGGCTTCGAGCGCATGGCTGAGGTACGGTTTGTGAGTGATCGACACATGCGCGACATCGGCTCACGACCTGGCCATTGCAAACATCTTGCTACAGCACTGGGCCAGCAAGCTGCAACTGAATAGGGAACCTGCGTCGACACTCTCCTGGAACCGCCTGGCTTGCGCGGCTGCCCAACAAAGCTGCCCGGCGGCATGACCGCGACGCAGACCCAGCGCACCGACGGGTGGGCTGGCGCCCCGCCCACGCAGGGCGTCTCCTCTGAGACTGACCCCCCTCCCCCCTGCCCATGATTCCTCGAGATGCGACGGTTAGTCGCCTACACCGGGAAGGTTGCGAAATGGGTCACCTCCAACGGGAAGGGCGCGAAGATAGTCGCGAATCGCAGGAAGAGGAACAGGAAGAAGTCAGGGAGGACCTTGCCGACCGTCCAACACAACCCACTGGCAACGCGACCTCTTGGCACACCCAACCGCCTCGGATTCGAACGGACTCTGCGACGGTCAGTCGCCGCCACCAGGAAGAATGCGATGATAGTCGCGAGTCGCAGGGTGAGGGACAGGGAGAAGACAGAGAGGACTTTGCCGACCGTCCAACACAACCCGCTGGTAACACGACCCCAGGGAACACCCAGCCGCCTCAGATTCCAACTGACTCTGCGAGGGTCGTTCACCTACACCGGGAAGATTGCGAAATGGGCCGCGAGCCACAGGAGAAGGGGCAGGAAGAAGACAAAGAGGACCTTGCCGACCGTCCAACACAACCCACTGGCAACAGGACCTCTGGGAACAACCAGCCGCCTCGGATTCCAATAGCCTCCGCGACGGTCAGTCGCTTCCACCAGGAAGAGCGCGAAGATAATCACGAGTCGCAGGGCGAGGGGCAGGGAGAAGACAGAGAGAACCTTGCCGACGTCCAACACAACCCACTGGCAACACGACCCCTGGGAACACCCAGCCGCCTCCGATTCCAAGGGATTCTGCGATGGTTAGTCACCTACACCAGGAAGAGTACGAAATGGGTCGCGAGCCGTAGGAGAAGAGCAGGGAAAAGACAGAGAGGACCTTGGCGATCGTCCAACGCAACCCACTGGCGACACGACCCCTGGAAACACCCAGCCGCCTCGGACTCCAACAGACTCTGCGACGGTCATTCGCCTCCACTGGAGCCCATCGCGAGTCGCAGGAGGAAGGGGGGCCCACCGCTGAGGAAGAGACTATCAAGGAGACCACCGAGGGAACGGCGGACGAGTCCCTGGACGAGAAATGCGAGGACGAGGAGAGCGAGAGCATCCCGGAGGACGACCTGGGCATTACGGTGGAAAGAGACAACGGGACCTTGGGAGACGAGGCCGCAGTCCTGCGAATGGTGGACACCGGGCGATTCGCTGCTCTCCGCCCCTCCCCCCACGTCCACCAGGGGGCCCTGTACCCGAGCATGCGACCAGCCCGCTGCAGCCCGACGCCGCCTCGGCGGGCGGGCTCTGCCCGCGAGATCGCCCCTGCACTGGCGTCGCCTTCGACGGACCGTGCGGAGCCACCGGGCGACGGGGGCCCCCAGCCGTCACCCGCCGCTGACTCTTCCAGCCGACGGCGACCCAGCGTCCGAACTGCGCCGGCCCAGCCGAAAACCACGTCGACCCCGACGATCACCACTGCCACCGCTACGACCGTCAGCGCTGACTCGCCCCCGCACGTGCCGCCTGCCCGCGGAGACGGGGCGGGCCTGGACGCATCGCTCACTATGCCCTCGCCCCCCGATGCGAACGGGTCTCGTACGAGCGCAGAGCTGGACGCGGGCAAAGCAGCGGGGCAGTCGCCTGACGAATCTGCCTCGGGGGCCGGGGCGCTCGCGGACGACCCGCCGGCCCTCGCGGAGCGGGTCAAGGCGCGGCAAATGACGGGGGGGCACACCAGTGGCACGACTGCGATGGAGGGCCCTGGCACCTACGATCCCGCGCGCCACGAGCCTGACGTCCTCCGCCGGTTCCTAGCGCTCACGGGGAAACACCCAGACTGCGACGACTATTTCGAACTGGCCCTCACCACGATGAGCCACCGCTCCCTAATGCAGTGCGTTCGGGGCGTCATTCGCTCGTCGCCGGATAGCCTTGCACAGTGGGAGTGGCACACTATCGACTACGAGAAGCCTGGCAAAGGCAGAGCCCAGCCCTACAGTGCACCCATGCACGTCATCGTCGCTTTCATGCGTGCTCGCGACGGGCACGAGAGGACGTCGGTCTGCGTCCCCGCGGGCGCGGCAGCGCCCTGGGGCTCCCACCTACGCTGACCCGCTCCACTTTAGGCCTGGAGTGCCTACCACGGCCCTGGGAGCCAGCCTGTTGCGCTGCCCTCCCCACACCGGGAAGTCCTTCGCCGCCTTGTGGCTGCGCCTTCTTGCACCAGGCTTCTGAGCGCGGGTGGCACGTGCAATTGAGCATGGCCTAAGTGCGCCTGGAGTTCCTCAAGGGTTCAGCGATCACTTGCCACCCCCCCTCCCCCTCGGCGCCTGGTGCGCGACCGCCCCCCCACTGCCCCCCGGGGCTCTAAGCCCGGCGCGCCTACCACAGCCCTGGGAGCCAGCCTGGCGCGCTGCCCCCCCCCCACCCACCCACGCCAGAAGTCCCCGCCGCCTTGCGGCTGCGCCCGCTTTCCACGGGCTATGGCAGCATGGATGGCACGTACAACTGGTTGACTGGTTGTGGGGAGTGGCACGTACCATGGAGTCAACGGCCCACCGTGGCAGGCTGCCTCCACCTCCCCTTCGCTCTTAGTCGCTCTTCTCCGCGTCGGTTAGTCGCTCTTCTCCGCCTGCGGCCCCTGCGTCCGCTTACCAACACCGCGGAGACAAGCAGCTCGGCGACGAGCACAAGTGGGACGAGCAGCGCTACGCTGACGAGCACAATAAGGCCCAACACCACTGGCCCAAGCACAACGGGGCTGAGCAACACGCCGCCGACCAGCACCGCCAAGACAAACGGCACGGCAACGAGCAACAATGAGACCAGTAGCACGACGTCGATGAGCACGACGGGCTCCAGCACAACGGAGTCGAAGGGCACGTCGCTGACCAGCACCACCGCGACATGCAGCACGGCAACGATCACCAGAGAGTCGTGCATCACGACCTTGCTGAGCACACCAGGGCCCACGTGCATGGGCCCCGGCGCAACGGGATCGAGCAGCACGTCGCTAACCAGTACCACTGGGACAAGCAGCACGGCAACGCGGCCTGGCACCCTCACCTCAGCTACCTGGGGCGCTCAGGCGCACAGGGTACATAGTCGATATGAGCGCGTCGCTTTCCACGGGAGCTTAGTTGGCACAGTCAGGGTTGGCATAGCCAGGGTTGGCACAATCATGGTTGGCATATTCAGCGCGGTCGGAAATTGCACAGCCACGAGTGGCATAGTCAGCAACAACTGCTCGAGTAAATGTTCTACCATTCTCCTCCTCACCTCTCACACCGCGTGCCTGGCGCGCACTTCCCCCCCCCCCTCCTGCAACCTAATGCTGCAGCGGTTAGCTGCCACACCAGGGTGCCTACTGTGCCTGGCGTGCACTTCCCCCTCTCTCCTTTGTTTCACCTGGTTTATCCCACGCGGCTGGGGTTGCCGCGAATACCGCTGTCTGATGGTGCTCTGACAGCCTGAATTCCATGCAAGGGATCACACTGGGAATGGGCGGTCAGGTGCCCCCTGGCCTGCTCCTGGCCGGCGTCGGCCTCCACTGATGGCCGAAAGGGCTCAGTGGGATCTCGATACGCTGCCGACCTCTTCGGTGCAAGGACTTCGGGTTCGGCATGCGTGGCTCTGTGCGCCCGTCGGCTGTTTTCTCCTACAAGGACTCCGCTCTCGACATGTGCCACTGCTGCACAAACAAGAGTTACTGCCCGTTGCAGTCCTATATGTGACGAGGCTGCCCCCTCTTCACTCTTGCGCTGACACGATGTTTCGTCACTTGTGTTCGTCCACTTCACGGATGTCATCTGGGGGTGCTTGTCGGTCTCTCTCGTCTCTGACGTTGCCGTCTGACTGACTCACATCGAGTGGTCGACCTCTACGTGATTTTGGTCGCGCCACCGCGCCATCTTGGCTGCGTCTACTCGCTGGTAGCCACAAGGATTTTCGGACGCCACAGGGAATGGGTCTACCGGCTCCTTTCGCCCGTCTGAGCTGCCGCCCGTTTCCTGCGCCTGTCTTGCTTTTCCGCGTTTCTGCTCTTCCACTGCCTAGTCGTGGCCCGGCTAGACTTCGGACGCCTTTTGGCCCGCTTCACGAGGCCGTTGACCAAAAAGCATCCCCAGCTGGTCCTCCGCCGTCTACTTACGTCAAGTACAGGGAGTACTCACTGCAAGGTGTGGGCGGTCCTCTACTTGCCCCACGTCTGAGCCGCGGCTGTTCTTCTCCTCTCCCGCCTCCTCTGTCCCTGCCTCTCGTTGCCGCGCTCTTCTCGTCGCGTCCTCTCTTTCTTCGTCTTCTGACGTTGTCTTCGTTGGCCCCCGCCCCCCCCGCGTTGCCGCTGCGCGTCGCCCGTCAGTTTTCGCCACCTCGCGCCTTTCTTTTCCAATGTCTAGCCGGCGACAAATGCGCTGTGCTTCCGACACTTTCTTGCCGTTCGACCCTTCCGACGCCGCGCGGGCGCCCGCCTGCAGTCGCGATCAAAAGTATCCCCAGCCGGTTCGACGCCATCTTGCTCTTCGCCATTTTGGCGCTGCACGTGGACCTGGCGCTCTGGGTCGCCCGCGTTTGAGGCGCTGCGTAGCTCGCCCCTGCGCACTCAGCGGTTAGCTGACAATTCCCCGACGGCGCCCGGCACCCCTGCGCGCTCGCGAACAGAAAACATCCCCAGCCGCGTTCTCGACGCTGATTTGCGATGCCTTCCGCGCCATTTTGGCTGCGTCGTACCCAGTTCCGCTCTGAGCCAGGCGCCGCTCGCTTCGCAATTTTCCCCTTTGCTTCGACGCGGCCCGCCCTCGACTCGTCCTCGCGCGCCCGCGCACCAAAAAGGCATCCCCAGCCGCCCATCCAGACATGATCCCCGGGCGAGTTGCCTCGACCATGCGACGACGCCGTGGATGGTGCGAACCATGGCAAGGTCGTTCCACTGGCCTCTCGCGCGGATCGGCGCGGGGAACGGCTGGAGGTCGGTCGGAACTGCGCTGAACAACATAAATATGCTCTAATTTGAAGTCGGGCCTGTCCCCCGGGAAATTTGGGACGAAAAATAAAGAATTGACCGCAAACAATATGCAAAATGCTTATAAATGGTCGAAAATAGCCCCCGCACTATTTCTGTTATTTCTGAATATTCCCCCTGTAGAGGGACAGGCCCGACTCAACTCGAATTCGATCACCCATCGGTTGCGTTGGCGCCCGCGCCGTCGCTGCCCGCGTCGCCATGCCCGCCATTGTCGCGCGACTTGCTTCCCGCGCGTCGGCGCCCAACTGTCACTGCGGTGGAAAAACAGCACACCTGCTCTGCGCGTCGCGTGGCACTCTGCACAAGGTTCCGCGAGGGCCACACTGGCGCTGCAATTGTCGCTATCGCTGCAGCGGGCTGGTACCGAAAATGCATCGAGCTGAGGCGGGCTGTTGTCTGCGCCGTCGCTGCTGCGTCGTCGTTGCCAAGCGTTTCGCCCCCCACACCGACGACAGCCGTCGTGTCATGCACGCTGCGCTTGTCTGCTCGGGGCGCACTGCCGTCGAGGCGCCCTAATAAGCAGGCGACGCCTGCGACGTGGTGCCCGTCGGGCGCGCGATTGGAGCTGCCACGTGGAAGTTCACGCGTTCGGTAGTGTCGTCGGAACAACAGGGCTGTTTTAAACAACTGGGATCGGTCTGCAAGCAGGCAGCACGCGCGATTACATTCCTGTTTGCGGGAGGGATTTACGCAAATGCAATTGTTGCACGGTCATTGATTTTCTATCCGCGGGATTGGGAGGGATGCTCTATTAGCCAAGATACAAGAGACTGCCCTCGCAAGAGCGGATATGGATAGCCATGTCCCGCTGGTTCGTCGTGTCACTGCCCATGTGGTGGGCCTTGCATGGGTGAAACGACAGTCCACGGGGTCGCATTGTCCGTGCTATCTCGTCGAACATCGCGGTGAGACGTGGGAGTGTTCGACCTGTCAGACAGCACGGCGCTGGCGAAGAGGAAGTCTGCGAGCGTCGCGTAGGCCGTGAATCCTAGCTGGCGTAAACTGTCTATCCCCTGCCGCAAGACCGTTTTCATTCTAGCGGAAGAGTTCAACAAATTTGCGAAAGACCCAACCATACACAGTCCTGAAAACCGCAATCATGAATACCGTCTTCGGTGGAGCCTCCAAATGGGGCCACGAACCGCGCAAGAATGCGCAAGCGATGCGCCGACTTGGCGTGGAGAAGACATGCGGGCCATGGCACTGGGGCCTTAGGTGGAGCTCCCTCTGGGGCAGCGAAACGTGCGATGGGCGTTTGGACGCGGCGCGGGAAAGTCGCAGGCCCTGGCGCCAAAGCCTCAAGCGAATCTCCCCGCAGGGCCGCAAGCCTGGCGAGGGGCGCGCCGATATGGTTTAGAGAAGGCACACTGGCCATGGCACGGGGGCCACAGAGCGCGCGAGGATTGCGCCGGAGTGGCGTGGAGAAGGCACGCGGGCCCTGACCGTGGGACTTTGAATAACTCCCACTGGGACAGCGAAACGTGCAACGGCGTGAAGACACGGCGATAGCGGTAACAGTGGTGGGGATTATAACGGTGACAATGATGGTGATAATGATGACGATGACGGCGATGATGATGATGATGATGTCGACGTCGATGAAAATGATGATGATGATGATGATGACGATGATGATGACGGTGATGATGATGATGGCGATGATGATGATAGGGCAAGGCCATAACGGTCTGGGAGCGTTGCTCGGCGCAGCCGTTCTACATTAACACGCGCACCCAGGGGGCCCTCGGGCCCCGCCGAGGAGGGGGGGGGGGGGAGAGCGCCCTGCAGCGCCCTGCAGCGCCCAGCAGCTCGGCCCTCCCGCCTCCGAGCCGCACCCTCGCGAGCGGCTACGCGGGCGGCTAAGCGGCTCGGCGCGGCCGCCCCCCAGCTCGGAGCCCGCGCCTCCCCGCGCGGGGCGCTGCCCCTGCCGCACCCCCCTCACCGCGGCGGCCTGGCGGGCGCCGGCCCCTCCCGCGCACGGGCCGCGGAGCGAGACCACGCGGGCGCCGCCCGCGTAGCACCCACAGACCGCGCAGAAGACGAGGCGGCGCGACCCCATCGCCGATCGCCCAGAGTCGGTACAACTCGTCGAAGCTCACGTTCCACCAGAGTGGGCGGCCGCTCTCGACCTCGGCCCGCGGCCTCGCCGCCCTCCTCCGCGCCGCCGTCGGCGCGCTGGGCGCCCCCGCGAGCCCGGGCCGACAGCGCCGCCGCTGCCATCGGGCCAGCGACGGCGGCCCCCGCGACCTCGGAGCCTCGTCGGCTCGCGCTCGCGGTGCCCCGCGCGCGGCCGCGCCGCGCGTCGCGCCGCTGCCCCGCCAGCGACGCGAGCGCGGCGGCGAGCGTGGCGCGGGCAGCGCAGCGGCCCAGGCAGAGCAGCGCGACGCCCACCCGCGCCACGACCAGCGCGCACAAGCCGCAGGCGCCAAGGTCGCACCAAAACGCTGGGTCGCGCCCCCTCGATGGCGTCAAGCTCCGCAACCCCCATGCCGAGAAGAGCGCCCAACGGTTGGTGGAGGCGCCCGAACGGCCCGTAGCTCAGCGCGGCCCCTTCTTCACCGTACCTCGCGACCTTGTCCCGGGGAACAATGCGGGCAGCCTCGGATGCGATCTCGCGCGCGCCCACATTCCCAGCCGCACGCGGGCTGCGACTCGCGACGCCCACCACCACGCACAGGTGGGCGTCGGCGCCCCGACGACGACATCGAGGATAGTTCCCTCGCGTTTGACAGCGGGCCCCTCGGCATTTGGGAATGTGCACCTCGGACACATGCCGTTGTTTTTCCACGTCGGCCCCTGCTTGGCGGGCCATCTGCGCCACCACGGCGAGCCGGGCGCGGCGGGGCATCTGGCGCGCCGGCCCCTTCTTGCACGCGGCGACGCGGCTGGCTGCGCTGCCGAACCCGCGATCCGCAACGAGCGGTGCGTCGCCGCACACGTTGTCCGCGGCGTCGAGGTCGCTACAGGTAGCTCCGACTGGGACCTTGAGCTGAACAGGCCGTGTCTTGGTGGCAACCACGAAATGCGCATCCTGGCCCGCGCCAGGGCCGCC